TCTTGAAAAAGGAGGCTACGTGCCCAACATTACACGGAGGACTATGACTAGTGGCTTTTTCCGGTTACCTCCCTGCTATTCAAGAAATGTAAAATATGAAGGACAATAAAGTAACCTGTCTGAGGTTTTTGAATGGTATCACCATGACTGGACCGAAAGATGGGTGTTTAACCAGATGTCCGTCCACTCCCTTCTGCTCTGTCATCAATGAGACATCTTACAGACTGTCTTAGTAATCCAAGAAATCAGAGGCCTGTTATTCCTGTCGGGCATTAGCATAAGGAAGTATGAACAAACGTGTTCTTGCATGTTAGGTTTTTGTTGGTAATTTGAATTGTCCCTTAAGTGGTATTCTTTACAAACCAACTTATTAACAAAAGGAGTTTGTGTTCATTTTGGAGAAGAATATATATAGACAGGACAATAAAGAATCCCAAAACTCTATGTAGACTTCAGAAAATTCAATTTAACATCCTGCTTTTGTTTTTTCTATGTATTTCAATAGTTTCTTTTTTTAAAAAAAAATATTTATTTATTTATTTAATGCCATTTGCTGTTATTATCATTTTTAAATTTTGACCAGAGAGAGAGAAAGAAAGGGAAAGTGAGAAAGCAAGTCTCCAGGTCCAGGACTCAAACCACAGTCGACCATGTGGGAATCCAGTGCTCTTAACCACCACGCCACCTGCTGGCCCCAATAGTTTCTATACTTATAGTAAGACATTTTTTTGGGGGGGGGAGGTTTTTGCTATAGGGCACGTGCACTCGCCAGAAAGACAGAGAGAGACAGAGAAACAGAAAGCAAGAAATCACCCCCTAGGGGGGATGGCCACGCCGCAATCCCTTCTCTTCCATTCTCTTCTCGGAATCTTGGGCACGCACACACACATGCCTGGCGTGAGTTTAAGCCACCGAGTCCAGGACTCGAACTGCAGTCTACTACATGGGAATCCAGCAACATAGCCATTACGCCAAGTGCTCGTCCCAATAGATATTTTTCTTTGATTATTAAAAACTGGTATGGCAAGAAGTCCTTTCAGCAGAGATGATCATGTAAAATTTATTTTAATGAGAAATTTTCTTTGCATAACAGTACTGACCTCATAGGAGTAAATAACTTAACAGGAATAAAGCACTTAGAGTGGTGCCAGGCATATGGGAAATGCTATCTATGTAGGTGTTAGTTGTCGGGGTCTTCTATTTTTTTAAAGAGCTGTGTTCTTTTCCAATTATTCCTAAGCTTGGGCCAACAGATTCCCAAAAAAAAAAAAAAAAGGAAAAGGAAAAATTCAAACCTGCTACTTTGGAAACAAGCCCCAAACACTGGAAGGCAATCAATATTTTTTTGCAATTCTTTCTGAAATCTTTCCTTCTTAAGTCATATGGCTCTGGATTGCTTTGGCTTGGCCACTAGGTCCGATGATGAGCTAACTCTAGGGTCAAAAGAAGTTAGCTAGCTGCTGAGGTTCTTTGAAAGAAAGATGGTAGGCCAGGCCACTAGCCTGGTGGTTAAGGGAGCCAGATCCCACATGGTTGTCCCAGTGGTTTGAATACCAGCCCCAGAGGTGTGAAAGACACACCAGGCGCATGTGTACCCCAAATTACGGTGTGATCACACCCCCTTGGGGGGTGCTTTCTCCCTCTCCCTCTCCCTCTCCCTCTCTCTCTCCCTTGCTGTCTCTCTGGCCAGTGTATAGGCCCTCTGGCATTGAAAAGGGAGAGTGAAAGGGGAGGGCGGGAGAGAGGGAGGGAGGAAGGTGAAACTTACAGAAGGGATAAGAAACATTTATAATCTGTAAAAGAAAATGAAAAACATGTATTGCATGAGAAGAGATCATGCCTCCAGAGAGAAGTACACCAGGAGTTTGCTCACAGATGATAAAGCAAGTTTTTCCACATGGAGGAAAAACAGCACAAAACAGTGAGCTCATTAGTATCACAACGGGCAGCTTTGAAAAGATTCATTGAGCACTCCGGCACAGTAGTGGGCCTTGTGCTGTCTCTGATTTCAGAGATTCTTGTTAAGCCAAAGCTCATACTCGATAGTCATCAGCCACACCAGCAATTTCGTTAGTAAAAGTAGAGAGCAAAATACAACTTCTCATGTAGTAAATCAGTTTAACATAGAGACAAACCTTCAGTTCTCTTGTATTATTTTTAGGTTTTTTTTTTTTTGTCCAAGGAACAAAGGGAAATACTGTGAAATGGAATATTTGAGCTTAGCTGAAATAATTCATTTATAAATATTTTTAAAAGAAACTCAGGTAACTCTTGTAAGATGATTGAAAATTGACAAATTTAATTACGGCTTTGCATGTCATTCCCAAGCACAAGGGAGTTAACTAAAGCCACAAAAGCAAATGCATTAGGGTACTATACAGCAGAGATACTCTTTTTTCTTTTTTTTTTTTTTTTTTTTTTGACAATTCTTTTTTTCCATAATGTTTACAATATTGGATTTATTTTTCAGCTAAAATTGTGATCATATTGAAACAACCTAATTTTTACAAGTAAATGGTTCTTGAAGCAAAAGTACTCATAATAAGCAAAATAACTTTTCTGGTAAGCCCGTGGTGTGGTGGTTGAGGAGGCTAGATTCCAATGCTGAATGCACAGTTCAAATCCCAGACCCAGCAGCTTGAAAAAACATGCCAGGCACATTTGCATGTATGCTCACAATCCTGAAAGGAGAAAGGGAGGAGAAGGGATTATGGAACGACCATCTCCGATAGAGAGGGGTGCTCTCCCACTGTCTCCCTCTCTCTCTCTCTCTCTCGCTCGCTCGCTCTCTCAGAAGTTCATGCACACCCTAGCAATTTTTTTTAAAGAGAGGTTTGTTATAGGGTGCATGCACTCACCAGACAGAGAGAAACAAAGAGACAGACAGCAAGAAATCACCCCCAAGGGAATGGCCATGCCGCAATCCTTTCTCTTCCATTCTCCTCTTGGGATTTTGGGCACGCATGCGCACACACACCCAGCGTGCGTTTTAAGCTTCCAGGTCAGTGACTTAAACCATGGTCAACTACATGGGAGTCCAGCGATGTAACCATTCTGCCATCTGCTGGTCTCAGAAGGTATTTTTAAGAAGAAAAATAACTTTCCACATCTTATGCTGAGATGGTAACATTTTTTGTTATTGCAGTGATCTGTGGCATCTCAGGCTGCAGATTCAGATTTTAATTTACTTGACAATGTTTTACTAAATGAAGGCTCAGAATGAAGTACACTAGTGAATAGTGTCTTTGCACTGAGCAAATGCATTGTTATCTCAGGGACTGCAGGGGCCAGCAGGTAGCATTGTGGTTAAGGTGCTGGACTCCCACAAGTCTGAGTGCAGTTTGAGTCCCAGACCTGGGGGCTTGCTTTTTCATTTTTTCTCTTTCTTTCTCTGGTAAGCACATGTGCCCTATAGCAAATTAAAAACTAATAAATAAAATTAATAACTAAAAAAAAAGGAGGGTGCTATGGGACCAAAATATCTCAGTTAAAGCATTGCTGCATTTCCAGATAGGCATTTTGTTCTATAATCTTGGCTTGGATATTTAAGATAAATGGAATGAAAGTTGAGTCAGATTAAGAATCAGATTATAAGTAAAACTAATTTTAATCATTTGAAAATGACCTGCAGTTATGTGAGTCAGCACCACATTATTAGTTAGCAAAAGTTAATACAATGCCTGGGACCAGCAGATGGTGTAATGGCTACGTTGCTGGACTCCCATTTAGTCGACCGTGGTTTGAGTCCCAGACTTGGTGGCTTGAAGTCAAGCCGGGCGCGTGTGCGTGCGTGCCCAGGATCCCGAGAACAGAATGGAGGAGAAGGGATTGTGGTGTGACCATCCCCCCTGAGGAGTGATTTCTCGCTTTCTGTCTCTCTGTCTCTCTCTGTCTTTCTGGCGAGCATACGCGCCCTATAGCAAAAATCTCTCTCTCAAAAAAAAAAGTTAATATAATGGCTGTAGAGCAAGAAGAGGGATTGTGTTGGTTCAGGGCAACAGGGCCATCGCTATGTGTGTGTCTACATAGGTATTCCGACATGGAAGCGCACACACACACACACATCCATTCTACTGAGTTGTTGGAAAAGCCATGACTTTTTTTTCTATGTTTTTCTATGCAAAAATACATCATGACTTTTCCCACAACCCAATAAAATTCAACCTCTGAAATTACAGGCATAGCACAAAATCACAGCTGTAGAAATTGAGTAAGCCTGATTTTGTAAAACTCAATGCTTACTATTTTCTTAACTAAACTTGGGTGGATAAGTCCAAGGAAAATTTCGGGAGGTAAGAGGAGAAGATGACTTTGTGGTAGGGCTCCTGACAACACAGACAGTACCTTTTCTCCCAATTACAAAAAGTCTCTTTCTCTAGTTGGAGTAATTATAAAAAGCAGGCCTCCTGAGAAAGGTAAATATAAAAACGGACTCCTTCTTTCAGCAACTTTTCCTTTAGAGTCGTTAAGTTTCTTTGGTAAGTCCACTTTCATGGGTTCTAAGCACCATTGAAAAAAAGTTTTATGGGACCAGCAGATGGCATAATGGTTACATTGCTGGACTTTCACGTAGTCGACTGCGGTTAGAGTCCTGGACCCAGTGGCTTAAAACTCACGCTGGGCTCATGTGCGTGCGTGCCCAAGATCCCGAGAGGAGAATGGAGGAGAAGGGATTGCAGCATGGCCATCCCCCCTGGGGGGTGATTCCTTGCTTTTTGTTTCTGTCTCTCCAGCAACTACATACGCCCTATAGCAAAAACCTCTCAAAAAAAAAAAAAAAAGATAAAGTTTTATAAATTTGCTACATATTGCTCCTGTTTTTCTAGTTGTGGCTAATTTAGCCCTACACATTGGTAAATCAAGAACAGATTTGGAATTAGGTATAATCCAGTATTTAGGAAATATATACACAGACCTTTGATCATGATCATTTTATTGGTGAAATTTGCTCTCTTTTTTTTTCCCCTTCTTCTTTTTTTAATGCCAGAGGGAGGGCCAGTCAGATGGCAATGGTTAAGGCAGCTGGATTCCACATGGCCAACTACATGGTTCGAGTCCCAGACCCAGTGGCTTGCAAAACATGCCAGGCACTTGTGCATGCGCACCCAAAATCCCAAGAGGAGAGTGGAGGAGAAGGGAATGTGGTGTGTGTGTTGGGGGGGGGAGGTGCCTTTTCACTTTCTCTCCAGCACCCACACACCCTATTGCAAATTAAAAACAAATGCCAGAAAGCACACAAGAGAGTAAGAGAGACATTGATAAAGCACCTCCCAATGGGTCCTGGTCACACCACAATTCTTTTCCCTCCAATTCTTCATACTGTAAGTATCCCGGCTATGTGTGTGCTTGCCCCTGGCATATATTTCAACAGGACCTGAGCTCTGGTCGGCCACGTGGGATCTGGCTTCCTCTGCACAGTGCTTAACTGTTGTGTTTAGCCATGTTTCTTACCATGAAGAGAAGCTAGACTTCATCAATGCCTAAACACAAGCACGAAAAGTCTTTTGCGAGTGTGTTTATTCTCGATCGTTATCTCTTACTGCCAGCTTAACACCCTTTTTTCACCCTATTAGTCTGCAAGTGTGGATTGAATGATCTTTACTGAGCTACCCCCATTATTCCCCAAAATAGTTTTTTGATCAAGTCATACATTTTTATCTTTCTTTACACTAAGAATTGTGGGTAAAGAAAGGGGATCCTTTGGCCTTTTCTCGCTAAGAAAAGAACAAAGCCTTCCTTGTCCACAGAAAATGAACAGATTTACCTGTGCCTTTGAACCACACTAGCTTTGGGCCTGAAGTCCATTCAATGCATGTGACACTTAATGTTTTTGACAACTGTGTGCAATTGGCTTCCCAAGTGCTTCATTTTCACTAGCGGTATGGAGTGCTTGCTTTAGTTGCTTAGCATTTCAAAAATTCCAGCCCAGTCTTGCGTATCCTTTTAAGACTCATGACCTATGGGGAAGAAATGTAGGTGGTGAAGATATCAAAAGGTAAATGTACTTATTATCATCCCTAAGTAAAAACTGTGAGTCAACGAAATTCTTTTAATTCATAGATTTTCCAAGAAGTCAAGAGCAGTGATATTGCCAAAACCTTCCGCAAAGCAATCAACAGGAAAGAAGGGATATGTGCTCTGGGAGGAACTTCAGAGCTGTCCAGTGAAGGAACCCAGCATTCTTACTCAGGTACTAGTTCCACCTGCATGGTACTCACGCAGCGAACTAAGTGGAGTGGGTGCAATCATGTCATGGAGGGACTCTGGGGAAAAAAGCATTTCTTCCTCATTGAGAATATAGTGGAAGTCCTGAGGCCAGCAGGTGACATGATGGTTAAGACAGTGGACTCCCACAGAGCCAACCACAGTTTGAGTCCTAGACCTGGGCAGCTTAAAAATCACGCTGGATGAGACCAGCAGCTGGTGTAATGGTTACGTTGCTGGACTTCCACATAGCCTAGTGCGCTTCAAGTCCCAGACCCAGTGGCTTGAAACACACTGGGCACGTGTGAGTGCTTGCCCAAGATCCCAAGAGGAGAGGAGAGGAGGAGGGATTGTGACATGGTCATCTCTCCGGGAGGTGATTTCTCGCTTTCTGTCTCTCTGTCTCCCTCTGTCTCTCGGGCAGGCGCACACACCCTATGGCAAAAATCTCTCTTTAAAAAAAAAAAAAAAGAAAACACGCTGGTCATACATGTTCAAAATCCTAGGAGGAGATTGGAGGAAAAGGGAATATGATGTAGCTAGCCATTCTCCTAGGGGGTTGATTTCTCACTTTCCCCTCTCAATTTCTCTCTCCGTCTTGGAAAAATATATATATAGTAGAAGTCATTTCTGATGTGGATTTGGGACCAATACTCACCAAAAAGCATTGTAGCATGACTTTGTTAGCTTGCAAGAGACATGATAGCGTATGTGTGATGCTACGCTTTATTGCAATAATATAACTGCATTTTAAAAAATCTTGGAGCTAATTCTTCTAAGGATCAGTTTACTCTATCCATTTTGTTAATTTTGTGGTGTCTAATAGCCAAATCCAAGTGTCTAGTTTCCAAAGAGCATAGCCACATGTTTGTGACACGTTAACTTCAGAACTACTACACAACTATTTTAAGCTTTGGCGTCAGATATTCAACCTACAGTATGAACTAATCGTATGTCATTTAATATTTTAGAGGAAGAAAAATATGCTTTTGTTAACTGGATAAACAAAGCTTTGGAAAATGATCCCGACTGCAGACATGTTATACCAATGAACCCAAACACTGATGACCTGTTCAAGGCCGTCGGTGATGGAATTGTGCTTTGGTAAGATGTTATCTTGCTTTATATTCAGATTTCCAAAAATAGTCTTTGACATAATTGATACATTTGTTTCTGAATGCTTGACAGCTTCACCTCAGGGAATAATTAGGATGGAAAATGATTGAGGCTGGACAGTGATGTAGTGTTACAATGCTGTGCTCTGTAAAGCTGACCCACGTGGGAAGTTTCTGGGTTCTTGCCTAGAGGCCTCCTTGAATATGCTAGGCATGCACATGCCTATGAACCTGGGCTGACCAAGGCTGGGAGTGGATCATGATGTCAAGACCCTGTTGGGGGTGCTCTCCCTCTGTCTCTCTCACACTCGCTCGCTTATGAAAAAATATATATATTTTTTAGAGAGATTTTTACTATAGGGCACATGCGCTCACTGGAGAGACAGAGAGACAGAAAGCAAGAAATCACCCTTCAAAGGGACTCGACTGTGGTTCGAGTCCTGGACATTGCAACTTGCCTTCTCACTTTTGCATTCTCTCTCTCTAGCTCTCTCATTCTGTCTCTCTCTGGTCAAATTAAAATAAACAAATAAATAAACAATAAAATAACTTCTTTAAAAAAGTAAATGAACTCTGGTCAGCCTGTGGCATGGTGTTAAGATGGCTGGATCCCACACGGCTGACTGCAGTTTGAGTCCCAGAACCAGTGACTTGAAAAAAAAGAAAAATGCCAGGTGTGTGTGCACGTGTTCCCAAAATCCCGAAAGGAGAAAGAAATGGAGAAGAAAGGATTGTGGTATGGCCATACCACAATTTCTCTCTCCTTCTTGGTCTTTCTCTGGTGAGCACACCCACCCTCTTGCAAATTAAACCAAAAACTCAATTCATTTTTTAAAATTGTTATTTCAGTAAAATGATCAACCTTTCAGTTCCTGACACAATTGATGAAAGAGCAATCAACAAGAAGAAACTTACATTTTTCATCATTCAGGTATGCAGTATTCTACCTTCCCTCTTCCTTGAAGGTACTGTCTGAGCATCTATTCTGAATACCCTAGTGTCTGCTACTCTCGGTTCTTGGTTAATCCTCAGAAGACCTCTGAGTTTAAGGTTCTTACCCTGCTTTACAGAGAGCTGGGTCTCAGAAAGGTTTCTGAGCCTGCCCAAGGTTAATGTTGGATGGAACTGAGATTCAACTCCTGGTCTAATTCCAAAACCCTCTTTTCTCTTCAGTACATGATAATGTACAGGCATTGCAGGAATGAGCAGAAATATGTAAGCGCTAAATTAATTGTTGTGCTTAAGGGATGGAGAATTTTTCTTTTCCATTAAGTGAGTTTTAGAGTATTAGATAGCATCATTTCCTCAGGCAAGAGATGTGGAAATCGGTAACTTCTGCAATACTATTGAATTCTAGTTTAGGCAATTTTAGAAACACGACACTTTCCTTACATAGATGTACTTACTCGGGTCACTCAGACCTTTCCTTTAGTGTCAGCGTGCCTCAAAAGGGACCAAATAAAAATACAGAGTTAACTTGCCATGAACTTTTACAAAAGACAACAGCAATAGAGCTGGGATTTGGTTTAGCTATGCTTTTAAACACCGGAGTCTGGAATTTGTTTTCTGTGGACCATATGTGGGGGAAACGAATACAGTGTATTAATTTCTTCATTGGGTATCATTTTCAGTGAAGGGAAGAGCAGACTGCTAAAAACTGGAAAGGTCAAGAAACAAGTGTGTAATTTGGCTGTCTTGCAGGAAAACTTGAACTTGGCCCTGAACTCTGCTTCTGCCATTGGGTGTCACGTTGTGAACATCGGTGCAGAAGATTTGCGGGCTGGGAAACCTCATCTGGTTCTGGGACTTCTTTGGCAGATCATTAAAATCGGTTTGTTCGCCGACATTGAATTAAGC